ACAAAATAGATAAAATACTGAAGACTATTTTTTCTAATTAAAGAAGCCTGACATACGTGGCTTTGGTACCCTAGCACAATGAAATTCAGAGATAGAAAGTAGAAGTTACTAAAGGCTACAGGAGAGAAAGAATAGGAATTTTTGTTTAAAGCGTACAGTTTTAAGTTTGGTAACTCTGGAGGTAGATAATGATGATCATTATACAGCAATTTTAATATACTTAATGCTACTGGACTGTACACATAAAAATGGCTAAAATTATGAACATAACACTATGCACATTTTAACATTACCAAAGTATATTTAAAAGTAAAACATTGTATAATCAGTCAGCAGTTCCATTCTTAGGCATTTGCTCAAGAGAAAGGAAAGCACAGCTCTGAAAATTTAAAATATTGATGGAAGCATTAGTTCATAAGAACTATAAATGGAACAAGAAATTGCTCAACTTACAAGCAAAATGTGCTGTGTTTATTTCTACATAAATCTGTCTCTCCACACACATATATCTCACACACACAGAGGCTTCACATACATATGTAAATACCGTCAGTGATGAAAAAGGGGTTATGCAGTATGGGCAGACCTTATGAATATACTGCTAAGTAAAGGGAAAATTTTATGTAACTTGATGTTTTAAATTTCAAAAGAAAGCAAAACCTAGGTTAGTGGTTTCCTAGGCCTGGGGTTACCAAGCAATGGCTAAAATTTATATTTTGGAGAAGATGGGAGTATTCTAAAACTTAGCTGTGATGATGGTTGTATGGTACTGTAAACATTATAACAAACCATACACTTAAAAGGATAAGTTTTATGTCATGTAAAACTGCTTGGAGCCATCCAACTATGGATCGAATCTTCTAAATCTGTGAACAAGAAATTTAAGAGTTAGGTCCACCTCCTGATCTGGTGGAGAAAATTTCAAGACAGCCCAACATCAGGCTATGGCATGGGTACTACTGACTGCTTTAAGCCAGATGTATTAGCGAGAAATGAAACAAAAAGCAGATCAGAAGTATCTGAATCCTTAAATTTTGGCTGGAAAGGATCTTCTTGTAAAAGTTGAAGCCAAAGGAAGTGTGGCTGCTGAGCAGACTAGCATCATTGAAAAGAAATCAAGTACTTTGTACAGGCTCAAGAACAAAGATACTTCAAAAGCATCTCAGGAATCAGCAAAACCTCACTTATCACATGCTCAAAGGAAGACAAATGTAAACTTTTCACTTGAAAAGACAGGTACTGAGGACCCTGCTTGAGAAGGGCTTCCTAGTGAACTGGCTTCCTGGGATTTATTTTACCATGATAAGCCATCCAGACAGTCAAAGTCTGCTACAATCGTAGCCTAAGGGTGCCTGGCTACTGTCCACACTAGCAACAGACCTCGGTCTCATGATACTAATTTTATAGGCCTACAGACACCAACAAGGCCAGGCAATATATCCCTGATAGAAGCTGTGAAATGAAACTCAAAATACAGCCTCCCCTGGAAGTTGGAGATGCCAGTGACAAGGGATATCTTCAGAAGAAAGATACAGATAACAGGCAAAGCCAGGCCAAGAGAAGCCACGGGGCTATCACGGGCAAGGCCACAAGGCGGGGACACCCAAGCCTTTTGGAGCTCTTTATCACCACCAAGCGTCTCAGATATTGGATATGGAGTTATAGATGTTTGCCCTACTGGGTTTTGGTCTTGTTTCATTCTTTTCTGTCTCCCTATTTCTTCCTTTTGTAATAGAAATGTTAATCCTGTAGCATTATATTAGAGGATTACCTTGCTTCTTAAATTTTAAAATGGTTCACAAGGAAGAGTTTTTATTGTCTTTGAGACTTTTGGGAAAGAATTACTGCATTTTTGGTTGTACACAGAATAGCTGTATCTTTTTAAGTATAATTATGAGCTTGTCATTGTCTTTATTCAGAGATTAAGTATGGCCTAAGGAGATATGTGTGAGCATCAGATTGATGAAGGGCAGAATGTGATGTTAGTTTAACTGTCAACCTGATTGATTGGCTTGGATGGGGGGGTTAGTAAAGCACACTTCTGGGTGTGTTTGGGTGGGCAGAGGTGTGACCTTGAGAACTGTGTCTGATCCCTGGCGTCTTCCTCTCGAGTTATTCCCTGCTGTGCTTCCTAGCCACCAAGAATGTAGCAGGTTCTGCCATGCCTTTCCTGACTTGGGGCCAGCTGACATGGACTGAAACCAGGACCAAAAATAAACCTCTCTTAAGTTGTACATATCAGGAATTTGGTCCCAGTGATGAAAAGCTGACCAATATAATGGTCCAATAGTATTTTATGGTTATGTACATTTTATTCTTTCATTAATGAGCTGATAAACATGTGGATTGTTTCTACATTTTCACCATTATAAAGAGTGCTGCTGTAAATATTTGTGTATGAATTGTTGTGAGAACATGCTTTTATTTCTGTTATGCAATATACCTAGAGGTAAAATTGATAGGTCACATGCTGACTGTATGTTTAACCATTTGAGGAACCTGCTGACTATGCTAAAAACGACTGCCAATATTTTACTCTCCCATCATTGATGTATGAGGGTTTCAGTTATTCCACAGTCTCTCGCACACTTGTTATAAATAACCATTCTGATTACAGTGATCCAAGTAAGCATAAAGTAATATCTCATTATGGGGTTGGTTGGTATTTTTCTGACTGATACCGAGCATCATTCAATGTGCTTATTTGTCATTCTTGTGTCTTCCGTGGTGATAGGTCTATTTAGATTCTTTATTCACTTTTAAATTGTCTCATTTGCCTTTTTTATTGCTGAGTATAAAAGTTCTTTATCTTGGACATAAATTTATTATCAGATGTGTGATTTGCAAGTACTTCCTTCCACTATACAGGTGGTCTTCACTTCATAGTGTCCCTTATAGCATGAAATTTTTTGTTTGGGAAAGTCCAATCTATTTATTTAGCTGATTTTTGCCTCCGATATATTTTAAGAAACCACAGCCTAATCCAAGACCATGAATATTTATACCTGTACCTTTTTCTACATATTTTATAGTTTCAATTGTTACATTCAGATCTTTGATGCGTTTTGTGAATGTGTGAGTTGAAGTTCACAGACTTTTATGAAAGATTAAGGGCAAGGGTTGAGGAACTGGGGACCTAATGAATAAAGCTGTATCTCTTAAGGGTAATGATTTTGGCATTAGTTGAGGCTACATGGATAGCTCAGGTATTGCATGCAGCTATTTTTTTTTTTCTGCTGATATAAAACCATTTATTTCTGTAGTCTTTCTTTAAGAAAAGGAGCAGGTTGTGGAATTAATGAGACATGGAAAACAGGATGCATTTTGCTCAGAGATCACGGGACACCACTGCAAAGCCAAAAGTAAACAAAGGATTATGGACTTGCAGGTCTCAGTTCCTTCACTTGGCAGAAATGTCTCTTTATTATTCTCCTTTCTGCAATTTATAGTAACAAAATCTCTGAGTTACCCTGAGTACACAGCTGGCTGGCTAGAGAAATATTTCTCAGCCTCCCTCAAACTAGACGTGTTTACATGACTATGCTTTAGCCAAAGGCACCAAGATAAAATTTACCTACTTTTGAATTACACTCTTTATAAAGCGAACTGCTTGCAGTTCACCCTCAGCTCTCCTCTTTGCAGGATGGAGAGTGGTCACACTGTCGCTTGCAAGCTCATTTTGGGCATGTAGGTGAAGAAAGTACACCAGGACAGTGGTTCTCAACTGGGAATAAATATAAGAATCGCCTACAGAGCTTTAGAGCTTTAATCAGTCTCCAGAATTTATGTCTCCCCTCCTGAGATTCTGATGCAACTGGACTGCAATCCAGACATCAGGGTGTTAAAAGCTGCCCGGATGAACCTGATATGGTGCCAAGGTTAAGATCTTTATACCACGGCAATGATTCCTTTTTCTTAATTTCTTTTTTATGGTACTGGGGATTGGACCCAGAGCCTCTGAGCTGAGCTACAGCCCCAGCCCTTAACATTTTTTATTTTGAGAACAGGACTTGCTACATAGCCCAGCCTGAAGGTAGACTTGCGTTCCTTCTGCCTCAGCCATTTAGAATCAGGACAGTGGTTTCTTCAACTTCTGTGTGCATCAGCATCACCTGGAGGGCCTAGAAAAATATGATTTGCTAGATCTTATTCCCAGGGAGTCTGATTCAGTGCTAGGAGGAGAAACCTGAGAATTTGCATTTTTAACAAGTTTGCAGATGCTGCTGCTGTGCTGGTCTAGCAATGTACTTTCAGAACCTGTAAAAGATGTCGAACCAGCAAGATAGACACAAACTGAGCCCTTGGTTGCTTTCCAAAAACCACCTGTCCATTCTGCATTCTTACCTAAAAGAGAAGCGAAAATTTATTCTGAGCTGCAAGGGCAGCTTAGCCCTGTCCTAACCCACATTCCTCAGATTCAGTGTTTTAAATATTCTATTTCATGCAAATTCACACGCATAATCTACACATTTCTTGCCTTTGGAGTATTTCCTACAATAGAAGAATGGCTGGGAATACTGCACTGTTGCCACTAGAATCGGCTCCTTCCAGTAATTGGTGCAAACAGTCCGAGTTCTGTTTTGGCAGGGATTCAAGCAGCCAGTTCAGTTACTTCTCCCACTTCAGCCCAGCCACAGTTGGGCAGCCCAAGGCTTTCACTGCTAATCTGCTTTGATCCACACAGTTCTGAGTGATGTAGAAACCTTTCTAAATAGATGGGAGTTCTCCTCTCTCCTTCCCTCTGTACACACTAATACAAAAGGGGAAAAATATTCCAATTCTTTTCATTTTATTTTCATGCAAAATTTAGCCCTTCATCACAGTGATCCTGAGAACAAATGAGACTTGGCCATTACATTTTAGGCTCAAGCTGTCTTTGGTAAGACTCTTTGTAGGTATCGGTTATTTCCTGAAAACACTCCAGTATCACAAGGAGGTAGGTGGGCAGGGTTAGAAGGCTGCAGAATAAATTCTGCCAGAAAAGGAAGGAGCTTGTGTACCTGACAAACCGGCTGAATAAGGCTGTCGTGTTCCTGATGATCCGAGCAGCCTGGGACTCCTCGCGCTGGCATCTCTGCAGTGTTAATCCATCATCCATGTGGCCTTCCTGGTGGAGAATGACCTACCCAAGGACGAGGGAGGCAGGGCCAGGTTACACATGACTCCGTAACCAGGCAGTCAACAGTTTCTGTAGTGTTTTCTTCTCATTTCCTTTCCCAACCAAGCTCCTTTGGGTCCATTTTCAAAACAAGACATTAGCAAAATTATTTCACTCACATGCCTTATTACTGATGCATGAATCATTCCTGAGACATGGTGCTTTTGATGAAAGTAAAATTTTATGTGCCAAAATGGCATGAGTTACAATAAATTCCTTGGGCCTAGATGGCCAATTTGAAGTGCTGAAAATACACTGTATAGTATATTTTGAACACAAACCCTTACCACTGGAGATTAGAAAAGTCACTTTGGTCAGAGCTTTTTCCTCTAGAGATAATTTGGGAGGGAACAAAGATAATTTAAAGCAAAGCTCTCTCCTAGGATCAGGCTTATATTTCTCTACTGAAAGGCAGCTACACTGGGTTAGATAACTGTCGGACTGGGAATAGCAGCTCAGGATGGTGGCTTGCTTCTCATGGAGGCTGAAGAGGAAATTTCAAAGTATGGCCTTCAATATCAACCAACTTAGGCTTAGTCCCATTATGCCACTTGTCGGCTGTGTGATTTTTAAGAAAACATTTAACCTCTCATTGCTTAGTTTTGCCATTCACAAATAGAAGGTTAGAAGGTTGTTTTGAGGCTTAGATGATTAACATAGAAAACATTTGGCATAACCTGCCCCAGCCTCCTGAGTGCTGGGATAAGAGGTGTGGACCACCATACCCAACCTTAGTTTTATTCTTTTGAGTGTATGTCCTGATACGATGAATTTACCCAGAAAGTAGAATACAGGCTTACAGACATCTGTGTTCATTGGGAAAGGCATTCCAGCCATCTCCATAAAGCTGCTTAACCATTAGCAAAGGATGTCTTTGCACTGAACTCACCAGCTCTTAGGGAACCTTCCAGAACTTCCAATAACCAGCGAACAGTGCTGCACTTTGCCTTACTAATACACTGGCTGTGTGTGTACTTTCCCTACAGACCAATTTCTTAGGGTTTGATTGCTCAGGTAATATGTAAACCAGCCAGCCAAACAAGAAAGTAATGAAAACTAGAGGAAACACAGTTGTCAGAATACTGTTTTTATGCCGTTCTCAGGTCTTCTTTTCTCACAGAGGCCCCAAAAATTCAATGTGGGAACCACAAAGGGGGGCAATTCCTTTCAAATTAGCTACCACCATCAGCTTTGCTACTGTGTGTGTTCTCCCTTGGCTTTTCCAGGTTTCTGATTTGTTCATTTCATAGAATGCTCAACACAGACACGGACATTCTTTATATTTTCAGAGGGATTTTTTTTTGCCTTATTCTAATGAAATGGAGCAGTGTGTCCCTACCAAACAAGGGCCAAGTATTAGATCATCATAGACAGAGTTTCTCCCCAAGTCACAGGCATGTTTTAGCAGTTATGTGGCTCTAACGACAGGGGCAGGCATAATAAATCAGCAATACAGCCTGGGATCTCTCCCCATGGACAGTGCTTGGAAAATCCCCTCTCACCAAGAGTCACAGCCAAGATCCTCAAACTCCACTCTCTTTAAATGTTATCATCATCTAGTGGAGCTGAAAAATTACAGAGGCTGCTGGTGATAATATTCTCTGGAGTCTCTGCTAGCCAGGTAAGAGGATGAGTTTCAGCATCTTTACTCAGCTTGCCCTGATTCCAAGGATGTCGTCCTCAGTCCTAGGCTGCACCCCTTTAGGACTCAGCTGAAGACCTTCTGTGTTTTCCAGGCCTGTCCTAACTTGGGAGTCCCTGGGTCCCAGCAACAGTGTCCTGGTGCTGCTACACTCTCAGCACTTCTGCTGGGCTCGTCACTGCCCTTGCTGCAGCCTCCTGTTTGCTGTCTTGAATTCACACCTCCCACCCATGGTCGAATGGATCCTCGAGAAAACTGCACGGAGAATTTGAGGCCGATGTTTCTAGAGTTCTCTCCACTTACGAAATATTGGTTCTGTAAATCCTTAGACCTAAAATAACCCTCCAGCGTAGTGGAGCTAACGCAAGGCCCCGTTATTCTGTTGGAGAAATTAGTCAATGTTTGGGGAGAAAAAACAAAGGCGAAGTGTGTTCACCTTAGTGTGATAACATTCTGCATGTGATCATCAGTAATCGTACTCTGAGTGTCTTGCTAACTGGAAGCTGCAGCCAGTTTCCTTGTTTTTGTATTTCAGCCAGCCTTTGAAGCTGTTTTCAGAAGAAAGGCTGAGATCATGCAAGCTATTTATGTGGCCTCTTATTTATTCTGTTTTTTAATATCCTTTTGACAACCTTATTCTTTTTTAAATTGGAATGTTTTCTGGTAAATCTGTGTTAAGCTCCATACGTCAACATTTCCCTGGTCTTTCCCTCTTCGTCCCTTCTTTCTCCCTCCCTCTCTCCTTACCCAGGGCCTTCACACCGAGTTACATCTCCAGCCCTTCTCCGTCACTAAGTTGCCCAGGCTGGCCTCAAATCCTTCTGTCTCAGCCTCTCAGAATGCAGGGATCACAGGTGTGCACCACTATGCCTGACTGTGTGCTTTACTTTGCACAAAGTTAAGATACTGCATTGTGCTATTTCCAGTACCCTTTCTCACAACACCCAGCAATCTTGAGAAATCTGTCATTACCACACTAGGCCGACACATCCAAACTACACTATAGCAATGTGGCCTAGAACCTTATTTTGGGACTTGACTGTTGAAATCTGTGGTTTGAAGTGGTATTCCATGAAAAAAAAAGTACCACTCGCTTGGCATTCATTCTCTGGCTCCTATCAAAGAAATGCTATTACGGCAACTGACTTTCTGGTAAAAAGACGCCTCATATATCCAGGAAGGCTTCCTGTGGCAGCATCCAGTGGCATCTCTGAGGATACGGAATCGTTTCACAGCTTTTTTTTTCCCTGCACATTAGTTTCCGAGGCTTTGTTAATATGCAATCTGCATTTTCTCTATAGAGGTTCTATTCAGTTTCCATATTGTTAAAAGTGTGTAATAACTCCATTATCCTCAAATGGAGGGAGCAATGATGTGGGTAATCCCAAAACAGGGACACTGCTAAAAATCATTGAGATCAGATTTTGGAATAAACTAAACTAAACAAATCCCACTCCCTCCTCACAGATTTGCATATACGGAACGGTTTTGTTTTCTTATTATTGAATTATATTACTGAGTTAGACTGTGGGGCTGGCCTGGAGAGACCATGTACAACTGTCTCAGAGTCACTGGGACAGCAGGAAATAAATCATGTCCGTCTGATGCTCAGCATCACTTCCACTGTTTAGATGCTCCCAACCCAGTGCAAAACAACTGTAGGCCGGGTCTCTGACCCTTCACCTTTCTTTTCAGAGGTCCCAGGCGGGATGTTTTGGCATCTTGTGCTTTGTAGGTGACCCAGAGCCCACTGGCTACATGCTGGACAAAGCAGACCGAGTCTCCATACTTGATTTCTGGAACCCCCATGCCTTCCATATCTCGCTTGTGACTCGAATCCAATTTCTCCTTGATTTCCTATTTCGTATGAAAAAGAAACAAACATAAGCATGCCTGATTACACAGAAACTCAATATACAAGGCACATCATTTGTGCAGAATTTGTAAGCCAGAAAAGTGATTACCAAAATAATTATGATCTGCCCATCCAAGCCAGGATTTTATAAAGGCTTGTTTCTTTTTCTGCTGTTAGCTGTAACATCAGTGCATTTCAAGTTTTGGCTACTTGAATGATTACCTAAAACCACGGAAAATTAGGCAATTGGTAGTTTCTTGCTTCTGTTCTATGTTATTTAATTCTTTATTATATTTTCTACTTTGTGCATCTTGACTTACGTAAGTCAAGTAAATAACCTTTTCTGGTCAATTAACTTATTTTAAGCAATTGGTATCTTCCAAAATTTTAGTGATTATCTTGCATAAATGTCCCAATTCAGGACTTCACACATATCTGTTAACATCTTATCTATCCACTGCTCTATCAGTCTATCAAACATTTATCTGTCTTTCCATCCATTCAAAAGAGAGCCGACGGGGTGGTACTGTGTCTAGGCTGACGCAGTAGCTCTTAGGGACACTCCGGTTGTGAGACTCAGTCAACGGATTTCATTTGTCAGATGCTACTATTTCACCAATTATCCATTTAACACTATGGAAAAGGGACTCACCTCGCCTTAGGTAACCACTGGGTGACAACCGGAAGCACCTGCCGGGGAGCACGTCATGAGGGAGGGCCCTTCGGTGTGGTATCTTTCCCCCTCCTCTTCAATCAGGGTCTCTGTGTCTCTGTTCTGAATGGCTCCACCTTATTTCCATTTTTTATCTATACTTTGTGTTAAATCACTAATCTGTAAAAGCCATTACCTAGGCAGCATTTTGAATATTTTACAGAATAAAAAATGTGTCACACTGTTCCCTCTTCTTGCAATGTTTCTCTCATTTTAATGATGGAACAACAGCGGCTCATGTATTAAGCACTTACTATGCTCCATGCAGTGTTCTAAGCTCTTTTCATATACAGATATTAATAACAAAACCTCCAGTGCAGCTACAAATACTGTCCCAGTTCTACTGCCAAGAAAATGAATAAACTTATTTGCCCAGCATCACTCAAGGAAGTAATGCCAGGATCTAAATCAAGAGGTCCAGTTTCAGGGTCTGTGATTTTTCTACTAGTATAAACTTCTACACATCTTTCAAAACCCTGTACACATGACACTTTCTCTGTGAAAACAGAGTTAAATTTGTCTTCCTACATTTTCTCAGGAAAATCCATTCTTTGTATTGAACATTTAGCACATCAGAGTGTACATGGGTTGTTTACATGCCACTGTTTTTGGATGGGTCAAATTTTGAAAGAATCAGTTCGATTACTTTTAGATTCTTAATACGGAGAACTCAAATCTCTCTCTATATATATGTATATATTTAATATTTTCTTTCACATGTATTTGTTTTACATTTCAGCTCATTTCTTCTTCAGACTTTCATAAAAGCAAAATTAGTTATTTCACACACAATTAGTGATTTAAGGGGCCATTTTGAGCAGTATTAACTTTGTAAGAAAAATATTTGTTTTAAATACATGAGCTGAAAGAGTGACTAGACTTTTAAATATGAGTTTTTGTTTCTCAGAATGAACATATCCAAAGGGAGAGATTTAGGACTTCGTGTACACGTTGACTGTCAAGAGCACATCTACTGTACAAAACAATGGATACTTGATTTCATCTCAGAAATATGCACAGTTCCAGAGACACCTAGGACTTAGAAGATGCTCAGAATTTTATCTTTAGACTGTTTTTAAACCTCAGCCCATGCAGTGAAATAAAAAGAAAATGCACTACATGTGTTAAATACAAAGAATCACCTTACCTCTCTCTTTAAATTTTTTTTGTCTTTTTTCTGACGGAGTTTCACTATAGGGTTCAGGGTAGCCTTGAACTCACTTTGCAGTCCAGGCTGGCCTCACATTCGCAGCAACCCTCCTGCCTCAGCCTCCAGTGCTGGGATTACAGGCGCGCATCACCACACCCAGTTTACCTTATCCCTAGTAGCGCCTGGCACACTCCTAAACTAGCAGGGAATACGGTTACTTCATCTATTTTCTCCCGTTTATTTACTTACGATTTTCCCCAAAGGATATAAATGCTAGAGTGGCTTAAATAAATGAGTCATGGTTCTGAATGGAACTGAGTGTCTCTCTGTGTCTGTGGTTTTATAAATCAACACTATTTTCTAAAGTTCTGTGGTAGACACCAAAGCAATCATTTCTAATTTAAAAGGAAATTAGCAACAACAAAAACTAAGAAGCGAGGCAAAATCAACATTAACAACAACCCAATTCTGCGTGACAATCATGATAAACCAGTGAGGAAACAAAAGAGGTTAGAGACGCAGAAGCCTGTCAAAGGCAGACAGATGCTGCTGGTTTCCTTCCGACTTGAGCTAAGTGAAAGCTCCTCTCAGCTTCCACTAGAGTCTGACCCCTCAGGAGCCACCTTCTTGCGGAAACCCTGCACAGATGTGACTTTCTCTGTGAAAGTAGAGTTAAATTTCTCTTGCTACATTTCCCCGAACTCCCTTTCAACAACTTCCAACTTTCTGTAAACTGAAACTCTCTAAGTTCTTATATGTGTTTTAATCAAATTGGACTATGCATACTTTATTACGTTTCACTGTTGAACATAGATGCACAGGGTTTCCGATAAAAATGCTATTTCCCAGTGGCACACATCTGTAATCCCACATCCTAGGAGGCAGGACAATCAAAAGTTTGAGTCCAGCCTGGGCTACTTAGTGATGCAGCAAAACCTTGCCTTAAAATAAATACAAAAGTGCTAGGGGTGTAGCTCAGTATCAAGGTCCTGGGGTCAATTCCCAGTCCTGGAAAAAGAATAGACTGATTTCCGCTGACTGACTGATCTGGTGCTGCCCTCTGTGGTTCTGTGTGGTACAGTGTGTGCCCTCCTTCTGGGAACTGTGAGTAAAGAGTTCTCCCTTCAATGCCAGTCACTTCCTGAGTAATAATAAAACATACTTCTCAAAACACATAAGAAACCTTTGCCATCACCCTTGCCAAAAGAAAGACTCCTGAAGAGCAGAAGTAGAATTTGCCTTTGTGTTTCGCATAGTGCTCTGCTGGAAATAGGCTGCAAATCATCGTGTTTATTTGATTGCTTTGCAGGCGCTGAATCTGTATATCAGTTAATCTGCACCGGTATTGCCTATGTCAGAGGATGAGCTGCCTCTGAGAAGGCCTGTGTCACATGGTCTAATACGTATGAAAGGATAATAATCATATCTTGGCCTCCACCGATGGCTTATTAAGGAAATGCTCATGAGCTCATCATAACCATCATCTCAGCATTTGGCGTCGGTGACCAAGTTGCTACTCTTAGGGTTGATTTAGAGTTTCTTAAAGGACAAATGGGAACAAATGCTGGTATTATCCTGTGCCTAGCTTGAGTCAAGCATTGTGATAACTTTAAAATGACAATATCATATCCATAAATTTACCAGTGGCCCAAAACTGACACATATTATCCACAGTATTCTGCAAACATTTTCCCTAAACTTCTCAATGGATCTACTCTTTTTATTATTTTACTTTATAGATGATAAAATTGAAGATTTAGCAACTAGCTCAAACTAGACAGCCAGCAAATAGTGAAATAATTCAAAATCAGCCTATTTATATTTTAATAGAATTTAAAAAAAATTTATTTTAAAGAGAATAAAACAAAAGAGGGCAGGACAAAACAGATCAGAACAGAACAATGTAAGCAACACAGCACTTCACAACAATACAACTGGATATTAACAGTAGCTACCATGATGTCTCTTTCTTTGAAATAGTTGAGCATACCTTCACATACAATAGTATCAAACATAACAAAATAGTATAAAACCATTCAAGAGAATGAAAGCATTACAGGGCATTCAGAACCAAATAACAGAAAATGAAGACTGGCTACTATAATATCTCATTTACATTAACAGAATTATATAAATGATTATTATATCATTAGTGCAGTTAAATAATTAACTGTGTCAGTGTTTTAGCTGTTTAGAAGCCATAGTGAAGCAAAAGTTAAACATGTATTCAAGTCATGAAGAAATAGCTCTGAGTCCGCTAACACTTTACGAGTTGGACACACTGGTCAGTAATTGCAAGGAGAGGCCAGCCACTGAATCTGTTTATCTGCATGTGTTTCTGCAGAAATTGAGAGGACTCTGGTAACAATATCGCCACTATTACAAGCCTTGCAGACATCAGTCATTAAGGTCCCTGCAAATAGCTACACATTTGATGATGGAAAGCACTTTTATAAGACACTAAAACATGGTAACAACCAGTGCTAAGAACTAGGGAGGCTGGTGGGCGCAGGTGCTTAATGATATTGAAGAACAAGTCCCACCCCACTAAGTATGAGCTAGGAGCTCCTCTTTCACAGAAAATCACCCTACTCACATTATTTAGAACTCAGCCATCTCTTGCCATGTTTCTTTTTAGTCCTCCGGTTAGTCCTTACATGATGTTAGGCTAATTATTTTAATAGGCAGAGCCTTCAAGAAAAGTTGTAGCTAGTGCATTCCTCGGGTGTTTTTTGAGAAACCTTGAAGAATTGCATTTAGGTTCATTTTCGTATAACTTTCTCATCTGGAATCTGTTTCCCTCCTGAACAAACCCAGAACCATGGTTCACATAGCGTCACCGTCTGCAGGGAGCTGGGAGAGCAGAGTCACCAGCCCCGTTAGGCAAGGTACATGCTGCAACAGATCTCCTGGGATTCGTCTCCATACCTGGCAGCTAATTCCTATAACACCATCTCGAGGGCACAGGAAAGGCAGGTGGAGGAGTCACGCCTAACCAAAGCATAGCACATGTAGCGATCTGACAAATGTCTCCTAAATTAAATGTAATGTTTTTGTCACAGAGGAAAAATTTTCTCTAGCAGGGAACAGTGATAACTCTATGCCCTTATGCAATGAAATAGGCAAAAATTTGAGATTCTAGCTCAATCATTTCAAGACTTATGATATGGTCATTTAAAGTGGATTTTCAAAGCACTTTTAGAGTGGCTATAAAATAAATGGCTATGTGTAAGGCAGCCTGCTTTAACATTTATTAATTCACCCTGTCCTGAAAGGAATTCAGTGCTGTAAACTGACATTGAGACATGACATCTAAATAGCACTGCCATGCCACGGTAAATATTAAACCACATTATCTGACAATCCTTAGGGAATGGGCTTGCAATGTTAAGACCATGGAAAAATGATGTGAAATCAAATTCATAGAAATTTGACTTAGATATCCAACATAAAATGAGTCTTGTTCATTGAATGTATGGGATTATTATAGCAAAATGATTATATAGGAATGACAGAACATTTCTATAAAGATGATGAAGGTTGACATGAAATGGATTTCACTCCATATTCCGGTGGATAGTTACACATTTATGTATTCTTTAAGTAAGGAATTTTTAAGCTTAATAAATGGTAAATAATGGGCAGGGTACTGGAATGAAGAAAAATAACTGGGCATAGTGGCACATGACCGTCATCCCAGAACTCTGAGAGCCTGAGGGGTGGGAAGATCACAAGTTCAAACTCAGCCTGGGAAACTTAGAAACTTAGTGAGATTTTGTTTCAAAATAAAACAATGAATGGCTGGGGAGGTAGCTCAATGCAAAGGTCCTGCATTCAACCCTCAGTATAGAAATGAATGAATGCGTGCAGAGGTGGGGTGGGGTATGTGTGGTCCTTTTTAATTCAGGGTTCCTGCTTGATGGGTAATAACTGCAATGGAAGCAAGAACAAGGTTCTCTTCTCTGAGTGGCACTTGACATTTGTCAGGACATGTGAGAAGGAGCTCACACATCAGTGCTGGAGTCCTGAGAGGTTAAGACACATTATGGGAACAGGTGTGCTGGTGAGAAAACACAGTTCAGATACTGAGAAATACCGAGTGTGCTGGTTCTCAAGGCAACCTCAAGCAAGTGATGAGAAACACATGGAAGTGCAGGCTGGGGTCAGATAGGGAAGAATCTTTCATATGGGACTTCAAGAAAGTGCAAATAGATTAAAAACTACGTTCCAGATCTCACGAAGAACAATTGGGGATTGAGCCAGATTTAGGCAAGTCTGAAGCCATGTGGTGGGTTGGAGTGGGTCTCCTCTCACACCAGTTTGAGAAAAGATTTAGGTGCTATATTTTACAGGCAATGATATCTCTCAGACCAGGGTCATCCTGCTAAAGAGGGGGATGAGAGGCTTTGACCAGGACCACATTCTGGCCATTACTCTGCATGGTTCACATAGCTTCCTCAAACACCCAAAGTCTGATTCCATCTGAGCCAAGCCCGGGCTGACACTTGCAGCTGGTGCTTGCATGTGGCCACCTTTCGGCAGGGCTCAGCCACATCCCTTCTCATTATACACATGATCCCCAGGGACACCTGCCACTACCCTTGTAAGGGCAGGTGTGTGAGGATCTACATGTGCATTTGCAGCTGTCAATGGCCCTCAATTTAGTAGTCACAGCTGCCACAGGCGAATGCAAGTCAACAGAGAATGCAGCAAGATGGAAAGCCCATTGCAAATGCTTCATGCTTTAGCATCCTCTAAAACATGTGACTGCCACCAAAAAGTGCTCCTCGCAGGAACGGTCTTCTGCTTACATGCCTTTCTACCATACCAAGTGAATAGATGAACACACCACTTCCTCCCCAACCCCATTCACGTAGGACACAGTTTACTTTCTCTCTCAGCCTTTCCACAGAGTGACCCCAACTCCCTACCACCATTTATATTCTGAAACGATGTCTTTGGTTATGTCACCTAACCCCTTAAGAGGCAGGAGCAGCAAGATGACTCAATGCCCTTACACTGTTGAAAAACGGGCCTTGAACTTCTGTCTATTGCGGGTCTTCTCTATCTCCCAGGGAGGCGAAGCACAGCAGTGTGCAGCTAGCAAAGATCACACTGCAGTTAGCAAAGTAAGAGGCCAGTGCATTGCCACGTTCTCTCCCCACAACTGTTTGGATTATGTGTGGCAGAGCTGTGGGCTTCCACATGGTCTTTCTTCCTTGCCTGATCTAAAATGTCAAATGCTCCACTCACAAAACAGTCCAAGGACGCTCCAACCTCCTGTATGAACAAAGCCATAGATAACCTGTCACAGAGCCTAGGCAATTTTAGTTTTGATTCCTTTCAAATGGAAATGAAAGAAATTGAGTTGAGTGCTACTGCACTGAGTTATTTAAAACTGGTAGCACACTGACTTCAATGAAATGTAAATACATTGCCAAATGCACAGGACAGCATGACAGGGTGACTCATGGGTGACTTTCACCTCTACCTCGGCTGTGCCAATCGTCTCCATGGTACTGCAATAGCTTTCCACCCTCAGCTGCTTGCCTGTATATGAATGCAAATAGAGGGACTTTTTGGGCTTTCTGAGGATAAAATGTACACAGAAGCCAAGCATGGTATGAAGTACAAGGAGTTTACAAGGACCCCAGGGTGCTCTGAGCTTTTCTGGCTTCTCTGCAGACCAAGGCACAGTGCTGAGCCATGCTCGCCAGGAACAGCCAAGAAAGGAATGAGATGGAAGGCTTCCCTAGGAACAGGACCCTGCCGGCTCCATGGGAGGCTGCCCAGTTCCTCTGCTATAAGAGACGTGGTAAGACCCTGGATTATAGTTCTCTCCCAGCCCCTCTCAAGTGGGCTGGGAAAAAGGGGTTGAGCATGCAGGTAAGGAAAAGGACAAACGTGCAGTCTCCCCAGCAGGCACTAACTGTCATCAGCCATGCGGAGGCATTTCTCACTTTCTGTCTCCTCTTGTCTGCCTCATTTGTTCCTGCCTCCTACTCTGTGTCCCAATTGTCCTTAGAGGAGAATGAGACCTGGCCTGTCTCTCGTGTTACACTGTTGCTTTTTTTTCCCCTTTGATTCTTTGAACATGTTGTATTACCATAAACCACTTCCTGGAGATCAAAATGACTTTGCTAGACATAAATTTGAATTTAAGATCCCTCTTGTCCTGGAAATCTAAAAAAAACCCCCAAGTATTGATGGTAACATGAAGAGATCTTCTCAGAACACTAGAGTGAGGTCAACTAGGCAACTTGTTATTGGGTGATGAGGGGACAGAAGGTGGCATCTGAGGGGAGTTCTGGAGGATAAAAAAAACCTCTAATTTTAAAAAAATATTTAAAGGATAGGGGTTAGAAAAGCTGGATTCTAAAGTAGGGAAGTTCTGGGGCAAAACACCTCCTATGTGCCAGAGATGTTCTTGGCCAAACAAGACCAGAAGGACATAAGAAGAAGGAGAAAAAGATGAAGCCCTAGTTTCAGAGAAAGGCAGGGCAGGGAGACTGCCCTCTCCTGATGCACTAGGACTCAGCATTGCCCTAAAGAAAAAGCAGCTGTCAGCTTCACACCTCTTCCTGCACAAACAGAGTCATCAATAACCCTTACTGAAACTGTGTGGGAACACAAGTCACATCTATTTCTGGGAAGGAGCAGAGGAATGAAGTCAGGAATGGAACTCCTACTGGAGATGGCGAATTGTCCTCTCAGAAGTGAAAACTCTGCATACATCTGGGGACTTTTGTATGCTTGGATGCTCTTTCTAGAACAATCACCAGGTGGAAGAAAAGTCAGCTGTCCAGCACAAGTTAGCACAGTATGCAGTCCTCGCTGTCCACTATGTCCAGCTCTGACTGACACAGAAGCAAAACTGGGCTGAAAGTCTAAGTTAGACTTTGGACAAAGTGGTGGTTTACAGACACATCAAATGGCAGAGCTTTTCACATGGGGTCACCTGGACACCACGGGATCTAATGTCAATGAAAACTGGACGGACAGCACAAAGCTAAGAGATGTGAACAGCGGGGGCAGCAAAAGGGGAAAAAAGGATGAAGAAGACACCAGTAACTCTGAATATTGTAAATAATGAAAGACAATATATCCAGCATTACGCAGTCTCTGCATCTACCTGAAGTAATTTTCTAAATTTAAATACATGTAGTTCTTATATCCCCATTGCTTTACAGGAGTGAAGCATAAAACTCACAAGTACTGTAAACAACTCAGACAGTACTAAACAGTGACAATATATTCCATCAGTCTCTGCGCAACAATATCTACTCCGGTGATCCCTGTGTTTTCCAGGGCTTTCCAGTCTTACCCAAGACTTTGTCCTTCACTGAAGGTATCTTTGCTTCCAAGAACTCAATTGAAAAGATAATACGAGAGGTCTAAATACCAGTCTTTGTTTCAGACCACCCCTTTGCTATCATAGTTCTCCCCGGAGGTTTCACAGCTTTCACTTCTAGAATGGGGTCAAAGGCCACTCATCACACCTTACCTTTGATGCTCGAAAAGAGAAGGCTGTGGACTTGGTGTCTGACTTTCCCCGGTCTTGCAGCAGAAGGCCTTGGTCCTCCGTCAAAGCTAGGTAGTGGCCTGTGGTAAGATGTCGGAGTCGGAAAGCTTGGCCCCATCTGATGTTACTGCCACTCCAGCTGGGAGAGAGATGCAGACAAAAAGCAAAACAAACAAACACAAAAGACAGAAAAACAAGTCCTTTTCAATGTTCGCCATGTGCTGTCTTACACACACCCGCAGATGTGAACCAGTCCCTCGACTTGGCCTAGGACTTGGCCTTGTCTGTGTAGGGCTCAGTAAGGTGCTCTCTTTTGATCCTTTTGAAAGATTCAACAAACATCATGAACCTGAGGCTATGACAATCGTGTACTATAATTGGAATTCCCAAGTTTCTGATTTTTCCTTTACTCTGCTAAAACATCTTGATACAAATAATCACAAAATGGACAGGAAGATTATCTTGTTTATTTGTCTATTTTTTGAGACAGGGTCTCACTGCCTAGTCTGGATTGGCCCTAGAATTCTCATGGCTCAGCCTCTTGAGTGCTGTGATTACAGCCACGCATTATCATGCCCAGCAGGAAGACTGCCTTTTAAGGAAAACTCATTTTTTGGTGGTGGTGGGGAAGTGCATAATTCCCAAATGTCTTATCTAAACAGAAACATTTTATTACTGCAAAGAGTCCTATTTTCAAGAGAAATACCAAAAATGACCTGTGCAGTTTATCTTCCCCAGGGAAAGGCAAGTAATAAGCAAGTGTGATAAGTAAGCAAATATTGTGTTATGTGAGGAGATAAAACCTATGAAAAAAATAAAAGAGGATAAGAAGATCAAGATAAGAGAATCTCATGTTGAATATTAATATTTTCAAGGTCCCCACCAAAAAGTTAGCATTACACAAAAGTTATAGCATATATTATCCACAGAATAACCAGTATCTCAAAATTTATCTTTTAATTTAGAAGAGTCTAAAAGATATTTGCATCAAATTCTAACATTACCACTTTGAGGCATCAATGAATCCAACTCATGTTGACTAAAGGCTTTAATTCTTTACATTAAGGTCTCTGGGGCAATGAGCTAACAATCATAACTAGAACTATATGTATATACCCATTCTGACTTAAAAAGTCCACCAAGCAGAAACAAGGTTTAATATCCCGAGAAAAAGGTTTAACATCATTTTAATTTTAACAAGATCAGGTTGAGAATATAAATACCCCAATCCAGTTAACAAATGGGTGCTCCTTATAAACAGTATTCATTTCATACTCTAAATATATATAGCTTTTGTCAATTACACCAAAACCAGCATTATTTAAATCAGCAGTCTCCAAATAATGTTTCAGTTAAAAAAATTTAAATGAGGTGATCTATGTGTGGAGGTGTGCAGGTGTAATAAATGAAGTTCTAATATTTTCCACTCATCTCTGGTGGATTATCTCAAAGACCCTCACAGGAGCATAAACCCCTCATGAAAAAGACCTTGAACATGTGTTCAGGGAGGCACTGAACTGAATGCTAAAGAGAAAGGCAGAGATGAAAAACCAGACAGTGGTACTAAACCTTTCTCATCCCAAGCAGGTAAGCTTTGGCATAACTTCCCCATGCACTCAGCAAAATAAAGGTGCTGTACATAGCTGGGCAATCCTTCAGTAGTTTGAAGTTTAAGCAACATGTTACTTAAGCTTTTGTGAGATATTCTTCTAGTCAGCTTCCTGTCCCTTCCACCTAGAAATATTACCATCTCTGAAAAGTTCTGATAAATGCCACTTTTAATAGGTGCACTTGCAAATTAGTTTTACTTCTCTTAGTCAATGCCATCATGTTACTTATCTGTCTCTGTCACTTAAAGCTAACTTTGCATTGCAGCCAACATATCTATTGAGAAGAAGGTGAAAGCTATTTGGGATCCAGAAAATTTGACTTAAAAAGACAAAAAAACAAAAGAAATTCGATAGCTTCCAGTGGCCACGTATGAGTCTTGCTTTTATTCCTCAGGCACTGAAGGTACAGCTGAGCCATTAGCCTCAGAGTCAAAGCAGTCCTCTCGGAAATCATGCACCAAGGACTTGTGAGAGTTTGTCAAGAGATGGAGAGCAAATGAAATATTTAGGAGAGTGGATTATCCTGGAAGAGCAAGCCATCGGGAAAAAAGCAACACATGGGCCTTCCATTACCTTATCCGAAGGGGTTCCACTCTCCACAGGGACCTGGCTCTCCTCCCGGCTCCCCCGGCTTCATAGAATACTCTCCTGTGGGTAGAGTTGGAAATCAGCACTAGGTGACGGACAGCTCCCTGCACAGCGGGCAAAGATCGGCCTCGCTGACCTCAGAAGTCAAACAAATCAGACTCACAGGAAAGCCCAGTTCCAGTGGGTCAAAATAGTCTAGTCACACACACGCCATGACACCAACACAGAATGCTCCAAGTATTTCAGGTTTAGCTCCTTGATGTGCTTTGTGTCTTTTGTCAATGCTTCATACTTTTGAAACACATCTGCAGATTAGTGTGATTCACTACCATTGTTTCTGTAAGCTGGGGACACAGCTGTATGCATGGTCGGTTATTGCAGTGCTCGTGGTTTTATTATTGAACTGCTGTCTTTTCTCTTGCATTAAGAGTTATCCTTTACTGCATTTATAAATATTTTTAAAATTTTCTAATAGCTTTATATTTGCAAAAACTGCAAAGATAGTCCTCACAGTCCTTTAAAGTCTTGATAAGTTTTCCCTGAGGTCATTTATCTTGTACTATTCACATCATATTTGTCAAAACTGAGAAAACAACTTTGGGATGTCATTACTAGCTAAACTCAAGATGTTATTTATATTTCACCTAAATTTGTCTCTTAATTTTTTCCCACTCCAGAAACACATTTAGGATGGCATACTGCATTTAATTGTCATGTCTATTCTATGTCCTCTAATCTGTTATAGTTTTCAGCCTTTCCTTGTTTTATGTAACTGAAAGTTTTTAGAATTATTGGTTGGATATTTAATAAAATGTTACTCAAGTTGGGTTTGCCTCACATTCTTCTAGTGATTAGCAAAGCCTGTTTTTAAATCTGTGTACTGGGGCGCAGCCAATACATACCTCAGTGTCTACTGAAGTGGACTTTCATAGTTTAGGGACATATCTCAAAAACAATAGTCCACATTAACTGGATTCCTGAATCTAGCCCCTTTTTATAATTTGAGACTTTTGATCAAGATGGATCATTTAACTGTGTTTCAATTCACTAGTTTAAAATCCTATCTCCACCAGAAAGTATTTGTTTATATCACTACTGAGTCACTCAAGCCCCAGGATAAATGGGATCCAGATTTTGGAAACAATAAGTAAACATTAGAGGTAAATAGGAACTGTATTTTCCCCTTCAGAGTAGTCCTGTGAATTGGTTCAAAATAAGAGATAAGATCTGAATTTGGATCTGTTATATGTGTGATTTGGGGAAGGCTCTCTTCAACTTCCCATGCCTCAGCTTTCTCATCTGTAAAATGGATTCAATAAAGGCACTTACATACTAGAATGATTGTAAAGGCTCAATGTGTTTTTTAAAAGTAATTAGGGCCAGGGACATTGCTCAGTGGCACAGCGCCTGTCTGACAAGTGCAAAGTCAAGAGTTCGATTCCCAGTACAGATAAATAAATAAGTGTAACTAATGTGTAGAAGTATGTTCCTGGATGTACAAACTACTACAAATTATAGATTTATCCAGATTTTATATGAAAATGACATTTATGTGAAAATGACAGAAAAACACATTAGTGGCACAAAAATATAATGAAAATTATGTTAAGAGTGCTTACTTCTAGAAGGTGGCATTATAGAGCACACTTCTAAATGTGTTTCTGAATGCACATGTAATCAGGAAGTACTTAGTCATTATGAAGACAGAAAATCCTTTAAATCTGTAGAGTTCTGACACCCCAGCCATTTCTGTGTCTGGCCCAGGATGAAAATGATTCTACAATGACTGGGCCACTTGGAGGCATCTGCTGAGATTTTCCTGGTGCTTCTCCCCTATCAGGGCAGGACAGAAAGAGGCCTCAGGTGGAGGTGAACTAGTTCAGCCCAGGTCAAAGCAAGGCTGCGTGCTGCTGGCCCAGAGGACCCTTTCCCCCTCACATCTGAAGGAGTCTTACACCTTCATTCTTCCTTCCTGGGACATTTTCACAGTTTGATCTATTTAATCTCACAAGGTGACTAAGGTCAAAATGATTTGTTCCTGTTCCTTAAAATAATCCGAGGCGAGGAGCAGAGTGGGAGGGAAGCTGAGGTGCTTTTGAAGGCTTGGCTGACAGATCAGCCTTAGCTTCAGTAGGTGAAGTGATTACACCAGGGTGTTTGACAAGGCGGAGGCACAGGCAAGGATCAGAGCTCAGAATGTGAGCACGCCGATTTCGAGTTTCCATTCAGGGACAGCCTGTCTATCAAGCCTGGCCGCTTGCATGATGCAGAGGGAATAAAAACAGTGTCCTCTGGAAAGTGGACCTCCTGCTATGTTCTCCATTGCTGGTTCCCTCATCCGTTCCATAATGTCAGTGTTTCCAATGATCCTGTCCAGTTCGGAGGATTTTTTTCTGACACTGGAAGACAACGAAGAGGCTTTTCATTCACCTCCAGCTGATGTGAAACAGTCAGGTTCCAATGGGCCCAAACATAGCTATTTACCCACCTCAGTCATAACTCCTGCTTGATTACTTAAAAATAAAACTCTGCTATTTCTTTTTAGTTTCATTTTCTAAAACACAAATGAGAGCCTCAGGCATCCTAAGCATGGGCCGGCCCCTTTCTCTTATCTCAGTGATGGCACCTGCACCCTCCTGTGAGCCTACTTGGGAACTTCTGTCTGCTCCACTCACTCTGCTCCTCTACACAAAAGCTCATGTTACCTTTCCTGTCAAGCAGGAGCTTGCTGAATTCCTTAAAAAGAAGCCCACCAAATGACGAGCTTCCCCAAACTGCGCGGTTGCTGTCCAGGCTGTTCCTAAAGTGCTTTTAATTTTAATGACAGGGATGTGTGTGTGTGTGTGTGTGTGTGTGTGTGTGTGTGTGTGTGTGTCCCCGGCAGGGCCCTCTTACTGTTGCCCTTTGCTCCTATCAGACATCCACATTTGGCTTCTTCAGTGCTCGCTGGTAATAAACTAAGTCAGCAAACTTCACCTCAATTACTTGGGACTAGCAATGGGAAGAAAAATGATTTGCCTTGAAGAACCTGCTCAAAAATTTATGAAGATTCCCTACCCCATTAGCCTGATTTCCATTAATACAATAGGTGCTTCAGCCTGGTGAATGCTACTCAAAACTTACAGTCAGGAGCAAACCAAAGAAATGGGCTTGTGAGGCATTACAGACTTTCTGGGCGTTCTGCCCCTCCCGTGTGTTTGTCTCTCTCTGTCTCACACACACACACACACACACACACACACACACATACATACACACACTCTCCCTCTCCTTCTTCCTGTCTCCCTAGAAGGAGGGGCAGAGGGAAAGAGAGAAGGAAAAACCCTCACAAACAAATGTTACTGGCCTTCTTTTCCTGTTTTATGTGCTGGAACTCAAGGTTGAAGCAATGTTTTTCAATTGGTCAAAACCTACAGAATTAATCTGTGGTCAAAATTGCACAAATATTTGCAAACTAGTATGAGTTTGTCTTGGTGAGATAGCTGGGAGACAGATGAAGCAATTGGCCTACCTGTGCTGGGGATCATTCTGGTCTGTGGATGGTATTGTCAAACACTCATCATGACCATGAAAAAGACGTACCACATGCCCACCGAGTAGATATCCTACAAAAAAATTATATTCTACCATGAATTAATGGGGAGTTTAAAGATCACATCATACTATAAAATGTGCACCATATTATAAAATGTGTAACTGGTCTGGGCCAGTACAGGAAATGTGAAGAGGGAGACATTTGGGGAATTATGAATTCCATGAGCTCAGGCATTAGGCAGAAAACAAAGTTAAAATGAGTTTAACCCTGAAAGTTAAATAGACAAGCTTGCAGAGGTGAGCAAGTCCAACATCAAAAGGTAAGGTGAAAATAGTGTGTCAACTGGTACCATTTTCTTTAAAAAAAAAAAAAAAAAGGATAATTAAATTACTGTTAGGAAAATAAAGAGTTTCTAATTGCTTAGTATGTAAGTATATCCACCACCACATTTCCAGGGAAGTTCCTATACCTCACTACAGTGATATAATCTATACTCTGTGATAAAAATCTAAATTGAATTACAGTCATGAGAGAGAAAAAAGGGGCTGGGAAAGTTGGTAGCAAACTGTTCCTCAGAGCTGTCTTGAGAGAGCTAGCTTTCAAATGCATCTCACAAATGCAGATCACATCTGCACGGTATTCTGACAACACGAAAGCAGAGGCAGAATTACTCTCCAGCAGCTCTAACTGGACAAGCATAGAGGCTGCTTTCAAGAAGCGCTAGGCTCTCAGAATAGAGCAATCTTTATAATCACGGAGTCTCGATTTTGAAAAGAAACAATGAATATCAAGGACATGATGACCTATTACTGCTCAAATAAATTCTGAGCCTTAATTTCAAAAACACTGTAGCTGCAAAGAGGACCAGTCTGAATTTGCTTTACACAAAGAAATGAGATTTATTATTCCTCTATATTAAAAAAATTCTGCTGACTACTGTGCTCTCAGGAGGCATGGATTTAATATGTTTAATTTCTCTATCAGGATTTTTAAAAAATCACATAATTAGATCACTTAAACTATTTGGGGTGCTGAGTTAAAACAGTAATAATAAGAAGTCATGTCAGAGGGAAAAGGGTTTTATTAGTGAATCTTGGGCAGTAACAGTCAGATATTCCTTCTCCCTCTTTCTCCTCCCATACGCTTTTGTCAGGTACGCAAGGAAGGACATAATTAAACTTCTCCCAAACATTTCCCCCTAATTTTCTATCTTCTTTTGCTAATGTATTTAGATACATATTTTTGCTTTAAAATAATTCACGAGATACTGTGGGAAAATTCTCAGGAACCAATTTATTTAGAAAATTAAATCCTTCAGCCTCCGGTTCCTGAACCAACCAACAGTCTTCCTCTTGGGATGGTCCCCATGCTGAGCCCCTCATGTACGGTTAGCAGCCTTTTCACCTGGGATGTCCTCCTCACACAGAGAAAGCTGCCAAGTTCTGGTGCATGGGGACTATTTGGGATGAAATAGAGGCCACAGTCAGTGAAGAAGCATCACGATGAGGATGCCAAGGTCCCTGAAAGCAGAAGCAGGTCTCTCACCAGAGAATGCTGAGAGGGAATTTGCTACAGCCAGAGATGACTCAAGGGAAGAGCTGCTCAACCTACATCACCACAAGGACATTCAACACTTCCATGAGGTCCTTTTGATGTGATTTGCAAACACTGCTTAATTAATCTCCACAAGTCCTCTGCTGGGAACAAGAGATAATTTTATCCTACAGTGAAAATGAAAAGTTTCCTGTGGAGAGTGAGGCAAAACTTTCTAGGAAAAATTTAAATTCGGAGCTTCTTAATCCTGATGTGGGGAAGACGGAGACTCCAGTTCAGGTTGGTGGGTTAACTGAGACGTCTCCGAAGGCCGACTACATTACGCTGTATTACAGCTTTCCATGAAGGGCTGAAAGAATTAAAGGCTTGGCATTCCCAGCTGTTCACTTTACTCAGGATGCCTTCTGAAAGTGAAACAGCACCTTGCCAACTCTTACTTTTCCCTTTATTTTCAAACATCAGAGCACAGAAGGGCATCGCTCAGTTTGAAACAACTGGACTCGGGGAAAAAAATAGGGTTCAAGCCTATTTTTATATTTGATATGACTATTTTTAAAAATTCTGGCTTTGCTTTAAAGTGCTAGAATGGAGTGTAACAATGCATAGGTCACTGACATTTTATTATTCTGCTCGGTTGTGGTGTTGTCTATGAGCAAGACAAGGCCAGTCTGTTTATTACACAACCTGCAAGGTCCACTGACTGCCTGGTTGCAAGAAACAGGGCATGAGCACCAAGGTGGAAGATATTATTTCCGAGGAAAAAATACAATGCAGGGAAAATTTCACTTACTATTTTTAAATGGTCTTTCATAAAGACAAGAAAAAGTAAATGACTAAATACACTTTCATTATAGAGGAAATTCTTCAGTGTGGAGAGAGGCCTACGGAAAATACAAAAATGGTAAACTATCTCTTCTAAGATGGAGTGCTGAGGTCTATGCACTTGTAACTATAAATAACAATGAAAGAGAGAGAGAGACAGAGAGACAGACAGACTGATGGACTTAGAGAAAGAGAAAGTGCATACCCAAATTCTGAATTCATCTGATGCTAAACAATGGGCTCTAAATGATTAAAAAGCGTCAGGAATATTCATGTACCTGCAGGTTTCAGGGCAGAAAATAATCCATGCTGACATCAGAGAAAAACTTAGGCAAACTAAAATCATGCAACCTGCATACCAAGATACTCAAGTGGGAGCTGAGAAATACAGAAAATGTCAATTTATGCAGCACAAGAGAGACTGGCTGGCTCCGGGCTGACTGCATACAAAAGAGCCCACCTTCTTCGATGCTGCTTCCCGAGCACGTAGGGTGTACATTCCAGAGGGTTTGCATGAAGGAGGCATCCACTTGTATGTTCCCATTGGATATCGAGAGATGCTGCAGCAGAAACAAAAGAAACATCCTTTAAATCACCAGCTCAGTCCCAACACAGCAGTTCGCCTACAATTTCAAGAATTGAATTCAACAGTCTTTCTGCCGCCTGGCTCTACATAGCCGATGGGAGATTCTCCACCCGATCTAGAAGCAGCTTCAAAGTGGGACATTTTATTCTGGTAAGAGGAAGTATTCAGCTACAGAGGTGGCAGACAAATGTTGACTTTATCCCTCAAGTGGATCCCTGGTTCAATAGCAATTCATAAAATTTTTAATCTTTGTAGGATAAAGAAAACTCACAAATGGAAAAAACTACTACAGCATTTGTACAAACCAAAGTAAACCCCGCAGCCAAGTTTGACTCTGTGGGAAACTACTGTAAAGCATAAAAATTTATCTTTGACATTTCTCATATGCTCTCAGTGTTTTCTGCCTTGTACACAACCTCGCCTATAAGATACTGCCTGTTTTCCCAACCTCTGCACCACCCATGCACTAACGTGTCAAATTCTCCTACTTTCTCCAACAAAAGTTTATTATTCTGTATTCCATTCTCTATGGATTGTTCTCCACTGGGAAAAGGCCAAACTGTGATAAATTCATAGTAATGTCAGCTAATGCATAAACAGTGCCTAGGGTATTTCCGCAGAATTTGCTGGATCCAGCGCCACAACCCAAATGAGTAACTAACAAGTTCCAGGGTCCACTATCACCTAGGCAGGGAAGAGACTGTAACCATCTTCCAAGTATACTGTGCAAAGGTGTCTGATTCTGGCTGACCTGTTGGGGGTCAGTTCTCCTGCCCAACCTGTGGGGGCCACCTATTTGTAGGAGGAAAAGTTTCAAAAACAAAAGGCACCTGTGTTAGAAGATACTTACAAGGTATCTCTCAGAGGACACACTGACGAGGATAAGGTCATCGCCGATGCGCACCTTCTCCCCCTCAGATCTCTGTTTGGAAGCAGGATGTATGGTCCACCAGCAGGCTTCTCCTACACAAAGGCTTCCTGTGTTAGTCACTGTTTCCTGGAAGGCAGTGTCCCTGATTTTGTTCTTCATTTTGTTTTTCCTGATGACAACACTTCAAACACACACACATTTTCCCCTGCTCTTTTGCTTCAAATTTCAATTTCTCTTTACCTATCACCAGCTCAGCTGGCCTCATGTATGTTCCTGAATTCAACTACCATTTTCATTTTCCCTAAAGACAAAAAGATGGGGTCCAGGCAGGAGTATTGAAGTCAGAGGTTATAAAACCTTTTGAGTACTTTTAATGCATATAGAAAAATGCTTTCTTTACATTCCTTGTCAAATCCTTAGGAACTGATTTTACTAGTATACTGAACTCTTACACTTTTTATCTTTGCTCCTTTATGCCCTTTATGAAATAACACTAAAACTAAAATAAATATTAAAATACTTCACGAACTATTAAAGGGATTTACAGCATTTATCTATTTACGTACTGGGACTTAACCTAGTGATTTACACAGTTCTACCCTTCAGATACATATCCAGACCTTTATTAAAATGTTGAGATGGAGTCTTGCTAAGTTGCCCAAGCTGGCTTCAAGTTTTGATCCTCCTGCTTCAGCCTCCAGAATGAGATTCTAGGCATTTGTCGTGGCATCTAGGAAAGGGGGTTTTTAAGGGCCTAAATGAATAAGGACTAGGACAACAAGTAAGATATTCTTAGCAAGGAAGAGAAATTTACATTTTGGAAAACAAAACTCATAGATGCTTTTAGTCCAAGAGAAAACAAAATCAAACTTCTTGAGTAAGAAAATGAAGTCACCAATGAAGCCAATCTCTACAGATTCTTTAGAAAGATCTCTGAGACTGGAGGTGAAAAAAGTGGGAGAAGATGGACTGCAAACAGGAGGGCTAGATGAAAGCTTAGAAGACAATGAGCCTCAGATCCCCTCCCTTTCTTCTGCAGACAGATGCTTCTTCCTCCACGCTGCAGTAGAATGCTAATTCGCAGAACAGCAGATCGCTGAGTCTGGTCTTAGAAACACCAGGCACTGTCAAATAATGAAGTAAAGAATCCTACTGAGAACAGAACAAATGGTTTACACTTGATTACTAACACCCAGCTCCTCTCCCTCTGTTTCCACCTCAGTTTCTCAATTCCCATTCCCCAAAATAAAAGATAGTTTGTATGGAGGGTCACCTGTGAAATGCACAGGTTCCTGTCAGATTACCTTAAATTGAGGCTTAGCAGATGCCAGGCCATTACCAGCTTCTAGTCAGCTTCTACTGACTCAATATGAGCGAAAGTCAAGGGTCTCCTGAAATCCAGGGTACGTCTCTAACAAGGACCAGAACAGAGCCAAAAAGAGGGGTAAAGAAATTAGAGAAAACAAAGAATTCAGAGAAAAAATAACTTTAAAAAAGTTACACTTGATAATTTCAGAGAGGAAAGAGAAAAAGCTACATTCATGAAATAGGTGTGAAAGTATCTCTGAATTATTCCTTCAGAGGAAAAAATACGTGAGTCTGTAAAAAAATCCATAAACAAAAAGATTATTGGGTAAGTTTCAAAATTCTTCCAGAAAGAACACAAATATAGTAGAAGTAGGAGCAAAATAGAGAATTAGAAAACTAATCCAGAGGAATTTCAGAAAGCAAGACCAGAGAAAATTAGCAGAAATTATCATTAAAATTACTCCAATACTAAAACACAAGCATTTCCAGGTTGAAGGCCCTATAGAGCTTCCAGTACGGTGAAGAACAAGGACCTGCCCCAGTTTGTCCAAGCGAAACTTCAGAACGTAAAAGAATCCTCAAAGACACATATTATGGAATTTCAAACTCTAGGGTGAAAAGGATATGAGGAGTTTTCAGAAAGAAAAACAGTTACACAGAAAGCATCAGGGAGCAGACCATCATCTCCTGAGAGAAAGAATTCCGAGGCAGAATTAAGCTAAGCCATGAATTACTGTGAGCCAGAATCCAGAAACTTTCGTACAATCATTTCCTTCCCAGATGCTTCTTTCCCAAAAGTTACCAAGTGGTGTGCTTCAACAAGATGAAGCCCTGAACTTAAAAGGGAAACAAAATAAGCAAACACAATAGCCATGATTCCAGTAAGCAGGAAATCTAGGAGAGAGCAAAAGGGATTCCCTGCAGGACGGTGGGCATTTGGAACATGAAAATGACAGAACAGTTCATACGATTAAATCTAATCAAAAGAGACTTTCAGCCCTATGGGAATATTTAGAAATGATTGTGTCACAGAAAACTAAACCAACAAGGACATTTTTAACAACTGAAAACCAAAGAGTAAAACTGACCATAGTATATTACATGATTTATTTGTAAATAAAATTTAGAGTTACACCAGTGTAAATGTTAATTATTGAGGGGCAGTTATCTAAAAATAGATGTAAATACATTGAAAGTGTGGAAAGAGATGACAGAAAAGTCTGAAATGAATGCAAGAACTGAATTTTTAATCAGGACAGTAACAGATAATACCTAATATAAAAGAATACCAAAGCAGCAATATATGCATTTCATTCATAAATAATGGGAAACGGTATCAGGAAAGCTGAAAGTAGATACCCCAGAGAGGCAGGAAACCACAGCAGGGAGTATAGTAGGCAGGAGAGTAATACAGCTTCAGGGTACTATTTATCTCATTAAATTATGTGTATTATTCTCATTAAATTTAAAATTATGTAACAAAGGAAGCTGACCTCTGCATTTGAAGAACAATGGTGTGTATTCCTTATGAACTCTGTGGCCCACCCAGGGGTATCTGGTGGGAAGAGGGTCCTAAAAAAGCCCATGTGGATTTTCTTGCCCTCGCCTGTGTCCTGTGGTCCAGAGGGGGCGCTGTTCCCTGAATTAACAGTATGGTCCAGTTACAGGCCCCAAAATCTAGCACAATTATTAGCGTGTGATTTTTACAAGTTGCTTTCCCTCTAAGTCTACATTCTAAAGTTTTTCTAATTGTCAAAAACAGGAGTCATCTTGGTCACCACACTCCTTAAAACTCTCCACTGGCCTTACAGGACAACAGGAAGAAAAAAGCAACCAAAATCAAAGGTGAAATAATCATCAGCTCTGTTAGGGCTGAGAATTATTATCCCATGTGCAGGAGAAATAACCCTCCAGAGCTGTTTAACAAACCTCTCCTCTCACCTCCTCCCGCACATTCAACTCAGCTCATGAGTAACTGACTTGTTCACAAATATGAAGAATTTTCTTTGCCAAAAGTACATTCGTGGAATTGTCTGTCCAGGACAGATGGTCTTACGTTGGATTCTGCTATGTCCCCTTGCTGTAAGAAGACACTCAGTTAACAGGGAGCCTTATCTGAGCTGTGTGTGAGATCTAGCTCACCCTATTTAAGGAGAATATGAAATGGGTTAAGGCCAAGAAAGGTGAAATAAAATAATAATTTTTAGGCCACAGGTTTTTCATGAAGACTCAGTCAGACCTTTTCTACTTGACCGTGCCACAGACAGCTTCTTATCAGCCAGCGTCAACGTGAGCTGCTAACGTGGTTTCCCGGTTTGTCAGCTGAATTCATACCAAGTCAGAATTCAGGAATTTGGAAAAAATCACTGAAAAGAGTAATAGTCTCTGCTGCTATTTCCCTCTCCTTATTTATTGGAGGTTCTAACACTTGAATAAAATAGATTCCCTGAACACTTGACTAGAAAGTGGTATTTCTCAATTTTCTTTCAACTTTCCGAAAGTATAAAGTCATTTCACTGATATAAATAGATTGATCACACACGTATGACTTTTCTGATTACATGCTTAAAGACTGACAGGTGCTTTATATAGAGAGGCCAGCTTACATTCGGAGACTGTGACATTTCACTTATTTGGTAATTTTCAGCAAAGGTGACAACACCTTAGAGGAAATTTTATTTTAAGAAAAACACTTTAGCTGAAAACAAAGAAACTTCAGATCAAATTAGGTGTAATCTTATTTTGGAAAAATAACTCACAGTGGGAAAAGGCAGGCCCAGTCATCTGCTTTGTGTGAAGATAAGAACAGGAATTATAGACAGTCTCTGCTTGGGCGCCCCTAGGATTCTACCATGCAAGGTACAGAAAGGTGCTCTGGCTAGCAGCTGGATTTCTTTTCTAGATCACCTACAAAATCAAGCGATTTGATCCTTTCCTTATAAACTGACCTAACTTTAGAATAAGAACATAGACTTTTGTCCGTTAGATGTGCAACATTGAAGCTCCCTTCTTATCTGGGGGAAAATGACCTGGTATTAAAGGCTGCGTTCAAATTAGTCTTTTCTGGAGCATGCCCCAGGCCATTTGTCTAGCTTCTCTTTCCCTTGCTGGCCAATTCCAAGTCTGGGACTCCAGTTTTGGTGTAGATTCTACCCAATATCCTTCCAGTAAATTCCTAATTCATTTGAGTTAACCTGAATCTGTTTGTTTGCAGCCAAGAAGCCTGACTGAGGATTAGGACCAACCTCCAGAGCAGAGATTTCATACGCAATGCCCTTGCTAGATTCTCATGAGTGCTTTCAGTGGTAGGGAAGATGTTACATCCTCATGTAACATCTCATGTGGTTACTTGCAGATTGACAGAGTGTGTCCCTTCAGTGAGGTGAAATATTCCTTCTTTCAACTTCTATGCAATGCTCTGTTGGTCTTTGGAATAACCCATAGGGTGCTGATACCTTCTTTGATGCTGCAACTTACTGAACATGTTATCTCAGTCCTCTGTTCTGGTTTCCAGTGAGAACATACATCCCTGGTCACCACACTTCTTAAGACCCATCTCTTGACTGTCATTACCTCTTAAATACACACACACACACACACACACACACACACACACACACACACAGAGCCAGTGGTTCTCAAAGTATAAGACATACCATTGGTAATATATGACAAATGACACTGAATCATATGGTGTCAATTTTATATTTTGACTAATATTATGCTAATTCTATCACAGAAGATTTTAAGCTGATATAACTAACACTTTTTTAAACATTTACTTACATCTTCTCAATTATCTAATAATATGCTTTTGTCCCCATAGAGTTTACTCATACGGTGAGCACTACCGGTTCTATATATACAGGAAGGACATAAGCTTTGTTTGTGAAAGTTTAGGCACAGAAATAAAAAATTAAGAAAAAACATGAAATAAATGATATTAAAAGGAATATGACAGAATGGCAAAAATGGTGGATGTCGTGGCCTAGTATTTGGAATAATCTTTAGAACATCCTGTTCACTGCAGTGTAAGTAGGGTCTTTAGTTTGGACACTGCACTGCATTACTGGTCTCTTGTTATGCTACCTTTCTTTCATAGCAGTTATTTAGTATCATTGATTCTCATCAAGAATGATCTATTTTCAGTACACCAAATGCTAAAAAAATAGTTTTTCTTTGAGACGCTAGCAGTTGTGGTTAAAACATCACATTCCCCTTCACTTTTAGTTCTCATGTTTCCATATCCACATTTCTATGCATTTCACACATTCTTTATATAGTTCTTCATTCTGTAAAATTTTACCAAACCTCTTTCTTGACCTGCTTGGCCTGAAATCCCCAATGGGTAACATATTGAGTGTTCTTCTCAAAATTTCTAGTACAGGGGTCCAGCGGGCAGGAGCTCTGGGAATGCTGACTTACCTGTGGCATGTTCCCGGAGACCTACATCAAAGGCAAGTTTATCTGTCTGGGATCTTGACGTGGTCAAACATGTTAGATACTGTAAACAAAAGCAGATCCTAGTGAAGTCACCCTCTTCCACCAGGCTTGGATTCCCCACACTGGTCAGCTTCCCATTAATTTCAACAATGCACTAGTGGGAAAGGGACTCACTTATCCTGCTCATTAGAAAATTAATTGGTACAAGCTTTTGGAAAACATATGGCAGAATAAATTTAAAACTTTATTGGATGACCTAGTGATTTAATTTACAGGACTGTACATTATAGAAATAAATTTAAAATGCTAAAGATGCCTTAGTTCGAAGGTCCTCTGCAACACTGTTAAACTGGGGACAATTATAAATGCAACATAAATGACAAACAATAATAGAAAGTAAACATTGGCATTTCCAATGTATGGAATATTATATTATTATTTATTAAGTGTATGTAACAGCATGGAATTCTGTTTATCATCCATTGAGTTAATAGGTCATATACAAAATAGTACATTTGCATAGTTTACATGTGCATGAAATTAAATGCCTAGCAACCAATCTAAAAAGAATTATACTAGAATGATAAACAATAGTTGTATTTGGGGTGGGGCAGAGGAGGTGGGAAACCACAGTTGATTTTATTTTTTGTTTTTAAAATGCTTTTTCTCTGATGATAAAACAAAAAGTGGTTTTAAAGCAGCTTAATAGAGGAACGCACCCCCGCACACTCCCTGCCTCTCTCATGGACCAGCCAGTGGAATGTCGGAGCTGAAGGCGGGGCCTTCTGGGGAACACGCTGTTTGAGCTGTACTTCTGGTTCTCTGCAGGAAGCTGGGAAATCATGGAAAGTTACACTGCACTGCCTGTATTCCCAGTGCAGCTCTTAAAAGGCACGGACCAGTGCAGAGTTTTGCTAACGGGAATTTTATGAAGAGAAGTAAAAATAATGGTACACAATAGGACTCTTCCTCCTTGTCTACCAGCATCTACCCGAGTTTTCCAAGCCACGAGAAGGGCACCTTTAGGAGCTTTACTTATTTTAGTTAGGTAGAAAAAGGGAGACATGAGAGTTTTATTGCCTTATGGACAAGAAATAGATTTTGAAAGATAAATAATCACCTCACAGTTCCAGAGACTGGCAATGTGTGCCCACTCTCTGAAAGTCCCAATCTCCTACTCAAAGACAGTTGGCCATTTTTTTGTTCCCTGTCTTTTACCAGGAAGGAATAAAACATATAAGTGTTCATGCTGAAAGGTCAGCTTCTTACCAGTACTTGGAAAAAATGCTGCAATAAATTAATTATTTAGGAGGCAGCTGCTGATCCTGCTGGTAATCTAATAGTTCAGGTTTTTGAGATGAACTTTACATGATGTTGTGGGTATGAATGCGTGAAAATAAAGCCTTGAAGGAATGTATCAGGTTCCCATGTGGGCTACGTCTTCCTAAACTGCTACCAAATGAGGATAATATACTTAGGAACTGAGGGTAAATCTTCTTGGAGTTGGCACACATACTTGATTGAGATCATTAATATTTTTGTTAATATTCTCTGTAGAAGATCTTTAATATATGCTTTTTACAAGTTATATTTGTTAAAACTTTGCAATGTATTCAAGTTACACTGAGTTATCACCATTCTGGTTCCTTAGGCTGTAAATTCCTAATTAGTTATGGCCTGATCATCTTTCTGTCACTGCGTTATCCCTCATCTTCCTTCTGACTCCATATTAACACAATACCTTCAAATTCTCCCAGTTGAAGGCCTTGGACATCATTTCATTTCATTTCATTTAGCTACATAAAGGAGAAAACATGTGGCAAAAATTCCATTTGGCTGCTTCTCCTTCTATGCTGGTTATCCTTGTATACCATTGAAAGCATTTATTCTAGGGTTCATTTGACCCATCATGAACTGAATAAAAATTTATTGAGCATCTGGTATGTCTAAGAACTGTGCCTGGTGGGATTAGACTTAGTGAAGTTGAATAAAATGACATGATCTTTTCCCTAACTAGAGTTGATCCATACCACACATTAGGCAAATAGAGACATATTATTGAAAATGAAGGCACATGATAGGAAGGCCATGCTAGGACAGTCATGAGCCATAAATATTTACATCCTAAATCACTCCTAGTGCTAATGTGGAGTTGCTATTTCCTGGACCGCTCCCCCCTTTATCTCTTGCCCCTCCTTGATTAAAGTCATGCTTACCATTCCACTGAAAGAGTGCCGCAGGAGAATTGCATGGCCATATAACAAGGTCCTGTGGCCACCCCCTTGTGCTGCCTGTGGGAATGAGGAAAAGGATCAGTGGGTACCAGCTGTGGCTTCTTGAACTCCAAAGCAGCACAGAGATTCTGGGAGACAGACTCTGAGATAAAGACTCATTGCAAAGCCTCCAAGGAAATCATTCCAGCAGCGAGCGAGGGTCTGGCCGATGGGCAGGAGACTCGTGACCACAGCCATGCAATAGCCTTGGCAGAGGACATGGAGGCCACACCTCAGAACTGACCCTGCCGTAAGTCAGCAGGAACCCAGTGCTGTTCAACCAGAGAAGCATGTCAATGACACAGGTGTCACTTACCTTTGTTTGAAACTTCTCAGAAGCATTCAGAGTGAGAGAGAGAAATAAGCATGATGAAACTACAGCCCAGCAACAGGAGGGCAGCTTGGTAAGCAGCTGTGCACGCACATCCTGCCTCCTGTGTCTCGGGTCTTTCCCCTTCCACCCCTCCCTGACCTGGCTCCTCCTATGCTGTCTCTCTAACAAAGGATGGCTTTGCAATCTGGGACTCTGGCAGGTTCTCAGTGGGGAGACCGCCTGCTGTCTCCTCACCTGGCCTGAAGCTGTACTTTGGCCATTGCTTCTGTGGCTGCCCAAATGGCTAATGTGAGATGCAGGAGGGGGAGATGGCCACACACTGCTGTGCTGAGTGGTCTACATGAGAGCAAACTATAGTTTATTCCATCCATAAGTGAGAGGTAGAATGGAAACACCGAATCCTGCATAAAATTTTAGAATTTTTGGCATCAGACTATCCACTCTATTACCTAAATCTCTCGCCACCACACTAACCTGTCCCCACACTGTCAAAAAATCGTGATCACACAGCCATGCTTTGCCCCACCCACCAAACTTGCACAAAAGGGAACCCAAAGCCTGAGATAATATTTACTGAGAACTTCTAATGCTGTTCTTCTGCTGCCAGCACCCTTTATTGAGAAAAGTGGTCCTACGTGGACAGGGCTGACTGAGCCTCTGTCCTGCCCCGGGGCTCCCCTCCAACCGCAGGGAGACCACAGTCGAAGAGAAGCCCGGTGGCAGGAGGAAGGCAGAGGTCTGGATAATACAGCCTTGAGTAATTTCACTCAGACTCTATTTGAATTAAAGAGAACCACTCCATCAAAGAGATGATTTTTCATGTCACACAATGAGCCTAAAGAAGAGGAAGAAAGATAAGTGTGGTATCATGTTCCAAAAAAGCTGATAACTGAATATAAATGCGGCTGTACTCCTTCTTACTGCTTTGGAGATATTTAAGCACTCTCCAGACTTCGGTAGCATGTAGGAATTACAGTGCTCTTCACAATATTTCCAAAATTTGTGAAATCATTTGCACGAACTTCAGTTTCTATATTTACAAATGTGTCAACACCTTACATTAAAATTAAACACACTAAATAATTTTCACATCTTGTCAGTCTAACTAAAACTGTCCCTAAACATTTATATTCTCGCAAGTTAACCAGCAGCTCCCAAAGGCTCATTTTGTGGGCACATACGCCCAAGCTGGGCTATGTCTCAAGCAGAATGACTGACTAACTTACATCTTGTGTGTTAACTGTGGGTCTCACCTTCTTCCAGCTCCTCTGAATCCCTATCAGCTCTGGAATCCTTCAAAGTCAAAAGTCCAGAGATACCAAGCCCAGAAAGCAGCCCTAAAGAGCCTGACCTCCTCTACTTCTCTGACACTTTAAGAAACATCTCTCAATCCTCATGGCCCTCATTACAGGGCAGAAAAACAGTGGCATGTAAGGATCCCACTAAGATATATTGGGAAGGCAGAAGCCAGGAGACTTCCCATTCCAAATGGTCCCTTCTGTAATGTGGTAGCCCTTGGATTCTGGCGAATGTCAGAATCACACAACCCCTACTCCATGTGTGCCATCCCCTAAGCCAGGAGTGTGGCCTGTGAATCTGCATTTCCAACAAGTGCTAGGCCACACTGATGCTGCGGGTCCAGGGACATTCTAAGAACCATTTTTTAAGGGAATGGTTGGTTGCACTTTGGAATGGCAGAGGGATTTTCTGGGCAGAGCCCTTGGCAGTTCTCATCATGGGGTTGTGACACACCATACGCCACCAAATCACAGCAATTCTCGAGGTAGAGATGACTTCCTCAAGTTTGTATGTGAGGAACATGGGACTCAGGGAGGACGGGTGTCACATCTCATCACAGCGGATGTAGGGTAGGGCGCTGCGGACTTAGAGTCAGATTCTGAGCTTGTTCAGCTCTTTATACCCCCACTTGGCTGCTGTGTGTAAAGCAGGGACACAAGACAACAGTAAGAAGAGGGGGCGAACAGACTTTTCAGTGCCTTCCTAGAGCTGGTACAGCTCGAGCCTAATGGTGTTGAACCTTATAATAGGCACAGAACTGTGCTGTCATACACATGAATCCTCTCATTCTCTCTTAATTAACACTACAAAATGACTATGGTAGGGATCCCATTGTAAAGCTGTGCAAACTGAGGCTTAAAGCAATTAAGCAACTTGTTCAAAATCTAAACACAGAGTTGGGCCTTAACAAAGACAAGGGTATTTAATCACATGTCATACTATCTCTTTTTCTGTAGCTGGGTGGAGGATATAAGTCAAGTTACAAATAGAAACATCATGCCGTTAAAAATGGTGAAGCAGAGTTCTGGGCTAGACTAGGAAAGACAGGAGGATGCTTTAAGGACAGCTTTATTGTGACAGCAGATTAGCCACAGGCTGTGACTGCTGATGCTGAGAGAGAGGAAGCTACAGGGCCCAAGACCAGGGAATGGAAGCGGCAATACACTTAGGGACCTGCAGTTGTTCCCAGTGCCTGGGCTGGAGAATGGGACACCTAGAGACTAGCAGGCTAAGACTGAAAAGCCCAGGGGGTGGACTCTGCCCCCAGCTCACAGGCCCCGAGGGTACGTTCTTGGAAAGACTTCCCCTTCATGATCAAAACTGTGCTTTAGGAACTCTGACTGCGCAATGGTGGCTGAATGGAGGGATCAGGCCTTGGGGTTAGAAAGGACAGTTCTGTCACTCAGTTCCACAGCATTAGGAGGGGTGCGTAGAGCAAATCCCTCAGGGGCATCCTTGACTCCCTTTTAATTCTCACATTCTAACCCTAACCCTAACCCTTTTAATTCTCACATTCCATAGTCAGTCAACAGCTACTTTGGTGCCACCTTCAAAATACTGCATCCAATTACTCAGCAACCTGCTGCTGCCCGGCTGGTCCATTCTGCAGCTCCGTGTCTTGCCTGGACTATGAGTGGTGTCCTAACTAAGCTCCTCCTCTGTCTTGTTCTCCTACTGTGTGGGAGCCACCACAAGCAGAGCCATTCCTTTTGGTACTGGGACTCGAACTCAGGACCTCATGTTTGCCAGGCAGGTGTTGGGCCGCTGAACCATATCCCCGACCCCAGAGTCATTCTTTCAAAACTGTAAATCACAGCATGGGCCTCTGTTCTCAACCCTCTCCCACCCCAGAGGCTTCCAATCCCAGTTACAGGTGCAAAGTCCTTGCTGGACCTCTAAGATCCTGCATCAGGAATTGGAAAATTTTATCTGTAAGATATCAAATAGCAAAGTTTCTTAGGCTTTGTGGATGACATATGACATGTGTCGTATCCTGCCCTCTTATTAAAAGCAAATTTCTTGAGATTGAAAAACCATTCTTGGCCTAGACAGTTGTTTTGACTTGGCCAGCTGAGTGTTGTTTTTGAACTCTGCTGCACATGAGTCCTCATGCCTCTCTGCACTCACCCTCCAGTAGCATGCTCCCCATGAGTCCCACTGCTCCAGTCACACTGGCCAGCTTTACTTTTCAGATAAGCATGCTTCTGCCTCAGGACCTTTGTAAAGGCTGGGATGCTCTTCCTCCACTGTTCTCAAAGCTAATTTTCCCTTTTACTCATTTCTGTGGTGAAGCAGCCTTAGAAAAATTTCTGATCATCCTTTTCAAAATCACTTTATCACATTTTCATTATTATTTCTAATGGCCTTCTTATTAATGGACATGAAATCATGTGTTGCTTCTGAATCTGTGTTTACCCTGCTTCCCTTAAGCACAGCCCCATGAGTCCTGGGTCTTTGTATGCCATTTGTTATACTATGTCATTTTTATCAGAACCAAACACATGGAAGTTATGCCTCAAATAAATGAACATAGCTCCATTTTGCAGTTGGAAACAACAGGTAAGTCAAAAATGAGAGAATTTAAGAAACTTTCCAGAACTGGCTTATAAGCGGAGAGTTTGGGTTTGAACTTGGGGCTAAAAACAAGTTCTGCAAAGTGCTTGCCCCATTTCATATTCACTGTGGACTAATGCTTCAAAAAAGGTATGATATGATACATGGAAGACTGGAGACATCTATTCATTAAGAGGGGTCTAGACCTTCACACTGGGAAGCTTTATCAGAATGGCAGTCTTGTCTCTGCCACAAATGTCCTTGGCTGTCATCACTAACAGAAGGAAAATATTTGGTACCACTTTACAGGATGAGGGTGGGTCAGGGAAAAGTCCCTGATGCCATGTCCAGAGGAGAAAAAAATGCTCCCTGGATCATTAATTCAATCATTTCACTTGTAGTTTCAAAATTAATTTCCATCACTGACATTTCTTTTTGTAGTTCCCAGGGGACTCTGCCTCCCAGTAAGGTAAACCAGATATTGTAACTAAGGAGAGGGTGGACTCACCATCTATCCAGCACATACAAATGTCTCAAGACCGCTAGATCTCCAAGCCATCATGTTTTATAATCTGGAACCCTAAATTCTACTTTGGGATCCTGGGTCCTTTGAAGTTCAATTAGTAGATTAATGCCCTAGGAAGACTTCTTGAAAAGTCTAACATAACCCCCCACTCAGCTTTGTTGCCATGTCCCTGGGAACTCTTACAGCATGTGAAGTCACTTTCTCGATATACAAATAATGTTTTAAAACTCTCTTCACCTCATGTCATCAAAGTATGAAAGAGCTCTTTCTAGAAGATCACAGAACACCTCTTAAATATGATAGAGT